AAAGTACATTATTTTCTACTTATTTTAGAATTAATGAACCTGGAAAGGAAAAAGGTTTCGGACAGTCCATTTTACATGATGGTCAACTGGTATTCCATACTTCGCCTTATAACTTGAAAGATGTGTCTTTACAAGATTATCCGGTTGTAGGAGTAAAACTAACTGCTACACAGGATGGATCGCACACTTCGAAAAAAGGTGTTGAACGTCCAAGGTCTGTGGCAGAGCATAATAAAGATTCCGGTATCGAAGAAAATAGTAGTACAAAATTTATTACTGCATCAGCAAGTCCATTCGCATGCAGTGGGGAACGGAAACTGCTGGGCAGAAGATTTTCTTATACATCAATGCGGTAATCTTCGGAATAGCTTTGAACCGGCTTATTAATGATTTTAATGACTTTTTTTTAATATTGCATGGTCGCTACATATGCTAAAATCCATAGAGTAATCATACATACTTTAAATCGTAATAAAATGAAGAAAAACTAATGACAAGAATAAAAATATTAAAAATGTATATTATTTACGTTGCACATCGATGTAATTTTTTAATGTATTCTAAGTTTTTATGGGTTCTATCTTAATGAAAATTTTCTGCTTCTCGCAAGCTTTTCATCTCTTTTTAATGTAAAAATGACTTATTTGTTTTTAAATGTTTATTTCCAAAACGCTCCGCAAAATGTAATAGTATCACTAGTAAAATTGAATCTAGGTATTCAATATTTTATTAAAGAGTTTACTTATTATATTTGAATGCCTTAATATTCTTATTTTTATTATAGTGGAAGCAGCGTAAGAGATGTTCCATACTCTCGGTTAGTTGATGCAAGTCCTGTTGCACATCTACCTCAGAAGTTAGATTCAGATTCTAAATTACACACGGAACGCAGTAAATCCATCTTAAGTGTTCCTGAAATTGAAGCTGCTCCTAAGAGTAGTGTATCTGATTCTAAATTAGCGGTAGATTATTTCAATGCATCAGACGTGGAACCATTCGAACCTAACAGTCCACAATCATTACCAGTTGTGTCTACTGACACGAATTATTCTGAGTCATTGCAAATAGCTACAAAAACGGTTGATAGTATTAACATTTCTGATTCTCATCACTCATTGTATGTGAACTCAGAGTCTGAAGAAAGAGTAAAGCAAGAGGTACAATTTATTAAGTTACATTTATTAAATATTTGTCTATCATACTTTAATTATATCTGACTGTACTTTTAGGTTCAACGAACAATATCTATGTCTTCGGAAAACCATTCAGAAGCATTCTATTCCGCTGATGAAGATACCAGTCATGGTTTAAGCGGAAGTCGTACATCTAGTTTACGCCAATCTATCATTGGATCTGGTTCGGTATTAACACGAAATGATAGCATGAAAAAGAAGTATTCGTCAGATCTGTCTATCGTAGAAAGTTCCGCGAATGTAAATGTCCCTGTGTCTGAAAAAGCACACACTTTAGAAAGAGCCAAACCGCAAACGACAAGCACGAAACGCAGTCCCAGAGTTAATCGAAATACTAGTTTCCAAAACGACACTGATTCAACCGGGCACAGTATATTACGTGACTCATCCGACAGCCATTCTGTTTCTTCCACAAGTTTTATTTCCGCTGTATCTTCGCAAGAAGATGTTACCCTCGTAAATTTACATATGCAAATAAATAAACCAATCGTTGATTCTCCATTGCTGATGTCAAGTTACGTTAGTCATTTAACTCAGGTAATATCGGATACAATTGTACTGTATTTTTCAAGTTTTCAATGATTAAGAAGTGTATTATTAAATTCAGGTGCGTTGTTCAAATTGGAGCCAATCGTCAATACCTGCTGGAAGCGGTGCATTTACTACACCACTTTTCCAACCTACTGAGGATGGTAGATTAGTTTATGTTGGCGTTAAATATGTACCGAAATTCGAAACTATCGCTGAAGGGTTTACATCCTTGAAAATGATCACTCGATCAGATGGTTCACCTACAGCTGGTTCGTCTAATAAAACACCCACACACCCGTATCTTTGGGATAGTTCAACTATAAGTCAAATGGAAGGTGAACAAGATCATACGACCCACAACGAAGAAGAATTGTTAGCAGCACAGCACGAGAGTGGATCGCGTACAACAGTAATTGTAAAATTTAAGGGAGATGTAGATATTATGTTAACTCCTATGGTGCTAGAATCTTTGCAACGTTTCATCGATGCAATCATACCAACATTAGCCGCACTACACCCGTTATCTATTTTAAATCATCTTCATCATGAATGTATTGGTAAAGTTGAAGACGCCAATATTTTAAAACAGGATCAAAGTTTATCATATTGGAGTCAGGTGCAAACTAGCTCAAAAAGATCTACTGCTGAAAGAAATGTTAAAAATGGACAGGGTGACGATAAACGTTAGTTCGAATATTACGAAATTTCTTGATGTATGATGTAAAAGAGTATTATTAATAGGTTTTTCTTTTAAATAACAGGTAAAGTTGCACTACAAACTAATCTGTATGAAGAAAGTATTATGACTCAAGTACAAGGCAGTATTATTTTACCAAAAGTAAGGAAAAATTTATATTAATTTCTCCTCTATATAGGAACAATTTTTATGTAATAATCTAACATCTTTTTAGATGAACATAACATTATTACAAGCTTCTGTTGTTGAAGAAATCATATCATTCTCTGCTCTCGAGAATATTCGTGATTTAACATGCGTGTCATTATTTGCTATATGTTTCGACGATGTCACAGGAATATTTTATATTGGAAAACAAGCTCGAGAAGTCGTTCAAACATTTCATAAGCCAGCTGTATTAACAAATCAGAAAAAAGTTAATAAAATTAGCAAAGCATTTTTACCTGGCCATCAAACAGCTGCTGTAGTAGCGGATATTGGCAGTGGAGAAACAGTTTACATAGAAACTTCGGAAAAACAACAAGAAGAAATTGTTGTTACATTGAATATAGGTAATTTTATACTGTCATTATACACTAGTATGATATATAAATTAAGAAACTAATTTAAACAATTAATGTAACAGGCAAAGCTCATTCTCAATTACGTAGGCTTCGAAATGAATCTTCAATTTTGAAAGATGCTGTTATAACAGCAATCCCTGCTCATTATTCAAGAGTACTATTTACGTGTACTAGAATAACTTCTCCATTAAAGTGTGTCGACTATTATATGCATCAGTTCATGGATGATAAAGATAAAAGTGTATGTTTCTATTTTTTATATAATTATATAAATTATGTATAACAATTTATTATAATTTACTATAGAAACATAGCGGACCTCCACAAGCTACGGAAGAATTTACTTTGGGAAGTGGCGAAGACAGATTAGGTTTTATAATGTTTGAATGTGGATTAGAAGGTGTTAAACTTAAAGTAGTAAAGAGGTCACAATTTGAAAAAGGAGAAAATGGAGGTGATAGTAAAAAGGCAGACACTGAAGTGTTTTATACGGATAGCGTAAAAAGTCAAGAAGAATTAGATAACACAGCTGGTATACAATGATCATAATTAACTGAATAAACATGTATGATATGCATTTGCATATATTTTTAACATTTCATTTATTATATTAAAGCATCTACTGCAACTGCAGCTGAACCAGAAACAGCATCAACGAATTTACCTAATGGGGTTCAAATAAATACCAGTGCTACATGTGCTAGTCTCGCATCAAAAGCAGGGAATGGAAATACAGTTTCCTGTGTTATAGAATTAAAAACAGTATGGTTCAACTTCGCTGCTCCACCACGTACTCCAATAACCAGAAAAATTGATTATACTCGATTAGATTGGAATTTATTGAGTACTGCATCACCAGCCATAAATGCTTGGATGAATCCTAGTAATAAATTCGCAATGCGAATAGTACACATGTTTAGGACTATGTACAGAAGATCAACGGCTATTGTTGCTTGCCTTATGGCAGAGGCATTAGATGTACAGGCAATTCATATGCCTGCTAAGGTATAGTATACATATTTTTTTAATGTAAGGAACCAATTAATATATAAAAATATTAAAACCATTACTATGTACTTTAGAGTCGTTATGGAAGATTGACTCCATTAGCAAAAACATTACAAGAAGATCCATCATGTCAATTATGTACAATTTTACAAAATTATGTTCTATTAAACGATCTAATAAATATTGAGGCTAATTTAAAAGAATCGCATTTGCCTCTATTATCAACACTTCGCCAGGTATGTGTGATCGAATATTCATTTTTTATTATTTACACATGATACTCTATTTGTAGGGTGTAATAGTACTGAGTAGACAATGGAAAAACGTTCTCTATACACCATTGTTATTGGAACATAATTATAAAACAAAACATGTAAAACCATTGAATGTAACATTTGCTGTATCAGATCCAGAAGAGGTAAGACCGCATTTTATCTTTTGTGAAAAGTTGAAGTATTTATAATATTTCTAAATTCTGAAATATGTGGAATGCAATTCTCTATATAATATTATGCAAATTAATATTAACTATTTTGACACATTAATTTTTCTAAAATAATAATTAACATTATATTCGTTTCTCTAACTCTTCGTATGTTGGATTTGGAATTATCTTAATTTTTTTGTTTGAAAATAGTTTAAATAACAAGAGAATGTCATAATTTCATTAATTAATTTTAATATTATAACTTTCATGATATAGAAGAGGTTTTTTATTTCATCCGGAAGTTTATACACATCTTATGGGGAACATAATTCGGTAGATCATTTTTTTTTCAGCGAGTAAGGAAGGAAGTGCTGAAGGATGATTGCAATATAAAATGGAGTAAGAACTTTAAAAATATATGCACAAAGTAGTCCTAACACGATACTTTTCTATAAAAAGAACCTATGAAAATTGAAATTTCTTTTTACATTAAAGAAAGCACAAGCTTTATCATGTAATTAAATATTAACCTTATTGAAACATTTAACAATACATTAATGCCATTATATGTTCTTAACATGCTCATTATGTTCTAACGCATAGTATTCAAATTATAATCATTTTGTGTTGTGCTTGTGTAAAATAATATTTTGCAATAGGAAATAATTACTTTACCTTGAATTTGAAACTAAATTTTAATTCTTACTACATGTTAATATAAATTTGGTGAAGGTTTTATAATCTTGTGCAATATGTTATATAACTAAAAACATAAACATTGTGAAATATGTACACATTTTGTAATAGCAGTACGACTTCCTGTGAAATTCAAAACTTCTGAAAACGAAATCTCCTCAAAACTATTCTCACATTGATTTGGTTGTTAAATTTATTAGATTATGGTATTATACTTTTTTAATCTTTATTGCTGATTATAATGAAATACGGTATCCTGACTTCAATTGTTAAAATACAAGTATCAAATACAAATTTCTAGTTTCACTTACTCATTCACAGGAGAATTTGCTGACAGACGGTGAGGGTAGTGCAGGAGAAGTTGATGATCAGGAAGTCACAGATGAATGTGCTATGTTAATTCATACGGACCACATGCATAAACATATACATGTCAAGAGTGGACAAGATAAGACTACAGGTACTATAAATGATACTAACAGAGTATTTATCACATAATATACTATACCCGAAACACAATATACTCAAAACTGTATGGTACAGTACTTTCGATACAATTTTATGGGATTATCGAGTATTTCAAAAAGACTTTAACCGAATACACCTGCAGCTTTTTAGCATCTGCTTTAAATTGTGATTTCAATAATTGCTTAATGTTTTACTATGCATTTTCATATAGGCACATTATAGCATGTGCCATTAGATATAGTGATTGTAAAGTACTTAAGCATTATTTTCAGTCTTCTGTTAAAAATTCTCTTTTGTGTTGTATAAACATTTATTTGCTTCTACTAGTATTATCTAACTTTGTCCTTTAATTACTAACATTAGTAAAATCTTAGACCTGTATACAGAGTTTTCTAATCGAGTGACTCATAATGAATCCTAAATTGTACAATTTACACATAAGTTCATGATTGAAATGATCTTGCAAGTTTACTCTGCATGCAAGTCTTCAACTTAAGTTTCGAGTATACTTTTTTAGAGTATTATCTGTAGAAGTCAATCTAATGATTGCATTTTGTAAATAACATAATAAGTGTCATTGAAACTTTAAGACGTTTCTTTTATAAAAATATTTATATATATGTTATTAACAAAATATATATACATATATATATACATATATATTTTGGTAATATAATCTTGGGCTTTCTGAACAAAACACTTGGCTTGATATGGAATGACCAGGTATTTGTGGTGATGGTTTGACGGTTCCTGTAAGTTCTCCTCGGGGGAAAGATACAACCCCCATAGCAACACCGGTTCCAGGCCCGGATTCATTAACCTCCCCCTCTCCACCAGTAGTTCATCCAAAGAAAGGAAAATCACTACAACCCACGCAAGTGCCTGCTAGTACACGAGCAAGTATTGTTTTTCCATTGCTTGCAAGTGGCGGGTTATTCAATCAAACTCGGGAACCAAGTAACATAAGTAAGTGCGAGATGATCAAATTTCATTGATTAGCAGTCTATACATTGGTGTAATGTTGTTAAACTAAAATTTTACTTAACTGTATTAAGCTAAAGCGATTAATAGGATTTTTTATTTTAATTGATTTACAATATCCAGTGTGCAGACTGTTTTGAGTGTATTGATTATATAGTGGTATAAGTTTCCTCTGCAGTTGTATCGCTTCGCACTTCGATCACAGCTCAACATTTTTGTGTATGCATTGGTTCCAGTTTTCTTCATACCTGTTACAAGCTTATCATTTCATAATTGCACTTATTAGGTATCTATTTCATGTTTTATTTCCCTTTATATACAGTTCTATACTTCTAATCCTCTAACATTGTTTTGTAACTTTTCTATATGGTAAATGTTGTACTTTTTAATGAAGTTTACATAAATATACACAGAATTTTGTACTAGGCTATGGCACTCTCAGAGAGGAAAAGACACCACAAATTCACATTTCCCATTCCCATCAACTGGGTTCCAATCCAAGTATCTATTCTGGTGGAGGTCACGGTAGTCAACATAGTACTGGAAGTTTGGATCAAGTGACTTCTCCAACAAGTCATCACTCTATTAAACCCTTAAATACAGGTGAAGATCTGTACAGTTGGATGGCAAAACAACAAGAGTTTATAAAGGATAACGACAAAAGCAATTTAAAAGGAAACTGGGTGAGTAATATTTCAATCTTTAAATAATAATTTTGCCAAAACCATTTGTTTTTGAGTGGTTACTTTTACTATTCCTTTTACATAGGTCTTTCGAGCAGAACAAAAGTCTTTGAAGGTATTTGAAATTTACTTTTGATTCTGATGTGACATTACATAATTGTTATTTCATTATATACAATGTATTTGATTTGTTAATATAATTTTATATATAAAGAAACTAAATTACTTCCAGGATTCTAAAATTAACACAATGACAACGGATGATACAGAAGACTCTGATGTTCATAGTGGCACTCTTCTTTATCCAATGAAAGATTCACTCAGATTGCTAGATGCACATTTAATTTTTGAGCCACTTTTGTCTTCCTTATCTGTTATGCCACAACAAATGTTGTCTGCTATTGGTTCAGGAAATGTGAACAATGTGTCTTCCTTAGATTCATTAGGGTCAAATTTGTCGCTAGTGGGAAGTATGGAAACTATGCGTATCGACATAGTTGTTAGTGAATTTGGGAAGATAACAGATAAGAAGAAAGGTATGTGTTCAACGAGTAGTAAAAGAAATAGAATTACTTATGCATTAATACGAATTTTAATAAATATACTAGGTAACAAATACCAAATAAAAAAAGGGAACAACTCGAAATTCCATTTGGATATACCACCAGAAACTCCAGCATTTTTATGTGAGAAGATTGGTATTGATATAGATGTTAAGAAAATGGCTGATATGACTGTAGATGATATGATTCAAAAGCAAACTGTTTTATACATATCTCGGGGCCAATTGAAAAAGCATACAAGTACAGTTGTGAATTTTAGTTTAAATATACGATATATTAGCCAACAAGTAAATATGCCTCTTCTCAGATTATTACATCAGATTAGTAATATGTATCAGAATGTTAAGGAAACCCAAATGGAGTTAAAAGAACAGCAACCAGAAAGTAAACGAAATAATGCTTTAATTGTTAATGATGTGGTAACTAAGAATGGTTCATCATCAAGTAAATATGAATATATTATTTCCTTTTTCTAGTATTTTACCGTAAATTTAACATTTATATGTTTACTTCACAGCATCCGATTTACAAGATCAGCTTCTGTTAGGTGGCAAAAAAATGGATATTCCTTTACTCCGTAGTAATATGGAATCAAATTCGTCCAAAGTTACATCACCTGGTACGAATAATCGATCTCGTCCACAAAGTTTTGCTCAAAAATTACGCAGTACCGGAAAAAGTGTCAAAGGTTACATTAATTTGAGCGAAGGTGTAATTACTCCTAACTTTGGAGCAAGTCCTAGTGGGTCTGGTTTAGATAAATTTTGCGTACTTCCTGATAAATGCAAAGATACAACATACATGACACCTCGATGTTGGAAAACAATTTACTACTTGTTAGATCTATATGCTACTCGTCCAGAGACTAAAACTATCACGCATCGTTTTTCCATACCAGCAGACACATCGGAACACTATAATAAAGGTGGTCAAAAGTATGAGCTTCTTAATGAAATCAAAGATGCGGACATAGAAAAAGGTTTAAATGCTGAAAATAGCTCGACACCTGTACCACTTCCACGAGAATTGAGTTAGTACAATTTTTAACAAAACCGGTGATAGACGAATATTTCCGATATATAAATGATTTTTTAACGATGTTTTCTAGATATTGTCACAGGAGAACGTACAAGATTAGTTATCTTTGGCGTTGCTAGAATACACAGAACTAGATGGTTGGCTACTCTCAGTGGTTTAAAACTTGAAGCCGAAATAACAAGTCTTCAGGCGAGTCTAACATGCTGCAAAAAATCGAGGCCAGCAAATTTTGAATGTAGTTTAACTGGACAAATCGGTAGAACAATGATTGTCTTATTAGAAGGTGTTGCCCCTAGCCAACAGACAGTTGTGAAAGTAACTGTAGGGAAATCACAGGCTTTGTATTCTAGTATCAGCAAGCATCAGAAGGATAAAAACAGTGGTTTGTTAACTGTTGGTGTTGTGAATATTGACATTCCTCAACATCCGGTAGCTCTGCATGGTATGATGACTAGGGGCAGTAAACAGTTGTCATCGACATTACAAGTAAATACAACATTTTTGTTCTCCCTTTAAGTATTTTTTATATTTTTCCGTAAAGACCAAACCATTTATATATGATAGAGTTCTTTGTGTTTGTCTATAATAATTGACGTATTTATAGTTTAAAATTTTAATTATTATCTAGGAACTCAGAGTAACAAGGACATCTTCAAGAATGTCTAGAGGTCAACAGCAGGATGATGTGGATACAGGTGTACCTGGTAGTCCACATCAATATGCTCCAGCTCCACAAGTTGACGTACAAAAACCACAAGTTGTGTCTAGTCTACTAGAACCAATTGTTATGCAGTTTAATATTATACTTCAAAGTTTGAGTATAACAGCAGCTCTGCTACCATCTTTGCAAGCACAGTACAAAATGGATCAAGTCACTAGTTCTGGTGTAACTGGTAGTAAAGCTAAGTTTACAATAGACTTACCTCATCATACTTTAAGTTTTACGACGAAGCTTCAAGTGACAGAAGCAAATTTACCTTCCGAAGCTAGTATCGAACTTCCTAAAGTACACGTATCCGCGGAATATGTTCAGGATGGTAGTAATAATATGAATGATAGTAAATTGGCTGGTTAGTAAAATATAATAATTTATGCTGGTATTTTCCGAAATATTATATTTTACAGTACAAAGATTCTTAATTAAACTTCTTACAATTCTCAGATGGCGTAATATTGAGACAGGGTAGCTACCTTAGTGCTACTGCCGACATTGGTGTATTTGAACATTCTTTAAGTACAGATCTTCTTAATCATTTAGTATTTGTTCAGAAAGTGTTTATGAAGGAAGTAAATGAAGTTGTGCAGAAAGTATATGGTGGAGAGAAACCCGTTCCTTTATGGTTGGAAGATGAAGAACCAACTAATTCACCCGTGAAGAGAATATTATTCTCTTTAATTATTCGTATTAAAGTACGATGTGATTGCATTAATTATTATTATTAATCAAGTAGTATCTTTTAATGCTTTTTTTACAATATCTTATTCTTAAACACAGAGAATACAACTGACTGCAACAACTCCAACGAATTCAGCAGTGCGTTTGGAAACTGGAGCTGTCGAACTTCAATTATCCAATAGAGTACAAAATATCGTTGGTGCTACTCAACCAAACCCATATATGAAGCTATTTGGAAAGGCACAAGTTGACATTAATTTAAGTCTCGGACAATTGTTGAAAAATGTTTTATTTGAAGAGGCGGAAACGGAATTCCAACAATTTGCATTTTTCAATACTAGAGTAGGATTACGGAATGCTTTTCAAGATGAAATGGCACAAGGCGAAGATAAGGAAGTAGTATTAATTACATTAAAACGCCCGTTGATTTATGTCCAACCGGTGGCCATCGATAAAGCCATACTTGTTTGGTTGAATTATAAAAACGCGTACGAGTACTGGAACGAAAAGAGAGCTAACTTAAATAAAGAGGTTCTAACAGCTACACAGCAAGTGTTAGAAAAAGTACCATTCGGTCAGATAACAAGTCAACTTAGTGCGCCTCATTTGGGGACATTATTTTTGCAACTGACTGTAGATGATATGGGCATTTGTGTTCCACTTAATCCTTTACCACCTACTTGGGGTATGAATAGAGGACTTTATGATGGCGAGTCAAGAGATGCTGTTGTAGTGACTTTGGAGAATACAAGCATTTCTGCATGTAGCAGTGGCAGCTTAGTTAGTAAAGCAAGGTACAATGCAAATGATACAATTAACTATATTTCTATTTTTGAAAGAGGAAACACATGAATATTTTGTACAGGTTTATGGGCTTATGCCTAAGATTTGCTGAAGACTTTGAAACTTCTTTGGATGATTGGAAACCAGACACAACGGACAGTAGCATAATGAATTTGTGTATGGTATCTGAAGGCACTTACGAAGTGTGCAGTAGAACGATTGCACAAAAGCCAGACAAATCTGGTAATAAGAATTCAATTACATTATAACAATATTTTATGGATTATACATAACATATTCTAATAATTTCCAGATAATGCTAAGTGGATTTTAAACGTACAATGGCAAATGGAAGGCGTTGATATTCATTTAGATGTTAGCGTCGGACAACAATTATCAGCTCTTGGACATACTTTAACAATGTTAACTGGTTCTGAAGAAGATGACATTCATGTTCCTGCAGAGTATGATAGCGATGACGTGGATCAACCAGAGAATAGTACTAGCCAGGTTAAAAAAAAAGTATGGTATAATTATGTTTATTTTATCCTATAATACTTTTCTGGCCCCATTGGTTCGGTAATGTATATAAGATAAAAATATTACATTTTTCCATATTTACTTATTGCACTCCCATATTATTTTGTTTTCGTTACTTAATTACATACATCGTTCTGCTTCATATTTCTTAATCAATATGTATTTCCAGGAAAGTATATTAATGAAGAAGTCCAAGAATTGGACGGATAGTTTACCAGCGTTTGTTTTTGATCCAACTCTTGACGCGAAGAAAAGATCAAAACTTATCGAGAAAGAAATGAACGAACAAGCAAAGATTATAAATGATCTGCGGTCGCTAGGTGCTTCTCACGGAACTATAGAACAAGAAATGAAACGTTTGCACGAATTAGAAGCTGTAGTATTTAAAGATTTCAGAAGGTAAAGTCATATGATATATTATAATTATCTTTAATAAAATGAATCGTAATTATTAATATCTACTTGTATATTATTTAGAGACATGATTCAAAAATTACGAAGACAATCAGTTAAAGCGTCTGGAATAAAAGGTAAATTAGGGCTTGGTGGTAAACCAAACACATACCGGTCACGGTCATTTATCGTACCGTCACCGACACTTGAAAATCAGCTAGAAAGTCCTGAGGATATGAACATAGATGTCAATTCAACCAACTCTGCCAGTTACGAAAGTAGTCCTAGGAGTGGTCCAAGTCGGTATGATATATTCTTATTTTTATAATCAAATAAATTTATTTTTCACTTAAAATCTGATTTGTGAACAGGTGTAATAATAAATATCCATTTTCAGATCTGCTTCTCTTCGAGTAAGAGGACTTACCGGACCACGAGTTACATTTAGCGATACTCATACAATGGGAAGGTATGTTAAGTAGTTTTAGTATACCATTAACCAGTAGTAAATAACACAATTTAATTATTTAGACAATCGTCATTGCCAAGTGCTGGATCAGAATTAAGTTTACCAGAAGGAGAATTAGATTGGCCACAAACTATTGATATAGAAGGAGAAAGGGTTGAATTGAGAAAGAAGAGTAGGGATATCAGTTGCACTTCAAGTTACGATAGTATGGAGGGAAAGTATGTATAACAATACAATTTAAATTTGACTGGGAAGTCTACTGTCTTTGTTTCTTCCTGTTTAGCGTTCCACTACTTGATTCATTGACGAAAGAGCAATCTTCTTCAACATCGTCACCGTATATAACACCTCAGAAACCTCAAGATCCTAATATAGACTTCGAACTCGATGTAAAAGTTCTGATTAATAGTGGCAAATGTGTACTTCACACGAAAGATCCAGGAAAGGAGGATGAAATTAAAACGTAAATCATATAATCTATATTTTAATATTTTATATATTTCCTTTAATCGGCATATAATTTTTTATAGTATGACTAAAATGAAAAAAGAGCGATCATGTTCAGGAGGCACGTTCGAGTTTCAACCAAGCAGCCCTAGTAGTAGTAGAAAACATTTAAGTAGCAAAGAAAAATCATCTACTACAAGTACATCTCGATTACGGTATTTACAACATACGAACGTGCCCCTAGTGGACTTGACTATTTTTCATATTCCTGGTTTAGATGTGAAGGTACAGTATTCATTTTTTACTGACACAGACAAATTGTATTGCAGCAATCTTATCTGTTACGTCGTTCTGGCAAACTTTTTAGGTGCACTATGAATCTAAAACACTTCCCGAAGAATCTGTGTCTCCCCGCGTTTCATCCGACAATGGCATGCTTAATCCTACACCAACAACGACGGCGTTTAGAAAATCCAGCACGAAGAAAGCTAGTTTATTCGCCTGGATGACACTTCAAAGTATACCAGAGGAAACTATAATAAGCCCGCATATTCTTGAATTCTTGGAGCAAACGTTAGAACCGATACCATGTAAAACAAACTTCCAAAATAATGCACAAACAAACCCCGTATTTCCAACGGAGAATACGGAAAGCACATCTTGGGCAGCCACTGCAGCAAGCAGCAGCAATTATGTTTATGCAAGTTTTCCAGTTGATGTAATAGTATATTTTCATATGCAGCCCTCTACTTTTAGGTAAGCATTGATGAAATTTTGTTAATATAATCGATTGTAAACGAATAAAACTAATTACTTTTTAGATTTTCCTGCTTACCACTTTCTCGCGTAGAATGTATGCTTCAATTGCCGTCCCTTGACATAATTTTTTCGTCCAAGCGAGCAGAAGAAGAGCTCATAGAATTTCGAGAGTACAAATCACCAGGCACACAGTCCACTGGAAAAGAATCAAGTTCAGCTATTGGTGGATTATCCGTCACCGGTTGTCTCGCTGATTTTTCCATTTATATCTTCCATCCATATGGTGGTGGGAAAAAAGCAGGCTTGAAAGAAGCTCAGTGGTCACCACTATCAGATAGTGAGAGGAAGGATTCTTTAAGTATCAATGTTGAGTTTGTGAAATTTCATATTGCAAGAAGTAGAAAGTTAAATTTTCAAAGTGAGTCATCGAAGAAAATGTTAGACACTAGTCGAGCAGTTATACGATTTTCTAGTACGTATACTTAATTATTCGAGTTAATAGTTTAATTTTTACTAATTACAGTTAATGAAGTAATCATGTTTTTAATAATGAAATGTTTTATTTTATAATTTCACAGCAATTGTTGATATTGGATCTGCCTCATTTAAGTATGATATGCGAAAATTAAGTGAAATTTTGGTCTTTCCGAATGCATGGTATAGACGCAGTATAGTACGGCGATTATTTTTGGGTGACTTAAGCTCAGGTACAGCATACTCTGAAGGTGATGGTAGCCCTTCTTTAAATCAAGAAGAAGCTGTTATGGGAAGTTCTTTATTAAAGCATTATGAACGACATGGCACCGATGGTTTATCAAAAAGTGCACCAGAACGAAGTCCTACATTAAACAGAGATAAGCTAAGATTAAGTTTAGAAAGTGATATGCCAAGACACGCGCGATTAAAAGGTATTATGCAGATTATTGTCTTTTTGCCGTTTAGTTTTATATATTTCATATTCCGTATTTTTCTATTAGATATTGGTAGAGGGTGGAGTTTTACTTCAGATAAACAAACGCCATCAGAAGTAAAATTAAGAGAATCTGCGTGGGAAACATTAGTATTATTTGCTATAAATTTCACTCGTCTGAATGTTCACATGAATATGAGTAATGTGATGGGCAACGTTACATGGATGACAAAGGATTTTAGGTCTGATGGAAGACTCTCCATTGGTAGTACCGGACATAAAAATTTGTATATAGGCGTTGGTTTGGAGGGTTCCAGTTTAGATGCAAAGGGTGGTATTGTGGCTGGCACCATAGAATTGAGTAAAATCGATACATGCAGTAAGTCGTTAATTGTAGTAATTACATTAAGAAATTAATATTTTCATTCAGTCACGTGCCACTATTCACATTCATTTTTATAGTACGTATTCGGGAAGAACCTGGAATAGAACCTGATCATACTCTAGGCTTGAAATTATTTGCATTGGAATTGAGATTGGATTATATGGGAATTAGCATGCTAATGTGTAGAGTTTCTTCGTTGGATGTAACATTAAACGACGAATGGAAAATTAGTCGAAGTAATAATGGAGAGACATTTATGCCAACAAGAAGGTTACATATATACATATACTTTCTTATATTATCCATAATTTCACTAAATTAATTACTAATTGGATCAAATATTGATACAGACCAGCAACAATCTTCATACATGGCGATTTAGGATGGGATCAATTACAAATAATGATAAGTAAATCGACAACAGCGGATTTACTAAAAATGTATTATAGATTAGACGAATTTTTTAATCAACAGTTCAAAAGTAGCAAACGAGTATTCAGTTCTTTACAACCAAAGCATCAAAAAGTAAACAATAGTAGTTTTAAAAAGAGACAGATGAAATATAGATCTACCGGTGAAGGTGAAGGATACTATAAATCTACATTATTTATGAACTTTAAATAATTGAAACAGAGTATTTAGTAGTAATGGGTAAAATTATATATTGCAGGTCCGTGTAATTTGAACCAGTCAACGATATCGGATGCACGTCATCATAGACATTGGCAAGGAGTATTAGCCCAAGTGGCAGATCTTCAGTTAGGAAGTTTAAGATTCTGTTTACCAACAACAGGAACTGTTCTCGGTGGAACGATGGAGCTTCACGGGTCTAACATTAGTTTAGCTTGTTTCCATGGTAGCAATTTTAAGAGTAAAAGTTGGGCATTGTTTTCATTAAAAGAACCGTGTATCAGTTTCGCTACAGAAGCTCAAGAAATCCCAAACATTGAGTGTAATTATTGAGTTATTCTGAAAATTAACTATATCTAGAGTTTAATTATATGCAGAAGTAAATCACGAGTGCATATTTATAGCGCCAAATACATGCGATGTACACGTCGTACAAACTTTGACCATCAGTTTAGGCCAACAACAGGAGCAACAAACAAGACATCATTCGATGGCTACTGTTTGTAGATTAAGTTGCAGTCTTCTATACCAGCCACAGTTTAAATCATTACAAGAATGGTTTCATTATGCATTTGCCAGTAGTGAAATCGATGGTATGTTGTACATAAGATCTTGAATAACTTTGTAACATTAACCGTGTAACAATTATTTCCTTTTTTTACAGCTGTAGATCGATTTCCGTGTGTTGAAAGAGAACGCACAGACAGTACATCGGACAATGCTAATATGCCTCGTGGAAGAAGTACATCAACAACTTCTGGAAAACTGGAGGATCACTCTCATGCAAGAGAAGTTATATTTGCATTGCCATCGTTGCAATTATATTTAAAAACTGAACATCTTCAGACAGCTAAAACTCCAGATGTTATTGGTGAGTGATACGTTTATTATATTCGTATTAAATGTTGTTTAATACCTTATACATATATTTGAATGTTTACAATCCTTTTATACATGAATATAAGAAATACGATTTTGTTAAGTAGAAAATCTTTTTCTCCGAATTGTTGCAACTATTTTCTTCATATATTTTTAGGAGCCCCAAAACATATTTTATACAGTAAGTACAGTGTGAAAATTAACTTATTTCAAATCTGGTAAGACGCATTGTATAATCTAGAATGTTCTAGATTTTTAAATGGTTTGCAGCATTTGTAGTCTAACTTAGTATTCTACTATGTATTGTATGACAATTAATTTGCATGAAATACGTAGAAAAAAACTGCTAAAACGACGCTGAGGCTGATCGAGTATGCATTTATAAGGATATTTTCAGTATCACATTTGCATAATTATTAAATGCAAATTTAATGAAATTTAATACAACATACATTTTTTGCACCAAAAAAAACATTGCCATTCATGAAAGATATTTTTTAAAAATTGTATAGTCTTAGATATTTGTAAATAGACAAATAGATATGAACACATTATTGATTCTTATAGCATTTTGGACATATTGTTTACTATATTTGGACATATACCTGTTTACTATATTTTTTATAGAAAAACGATTGCACAGTGCCTTAAACATAGAAATTAGTATTTGTGATGCAATGCTATAATTATTATTAAATACACAAAGATAAAATACTGTAGAGTATACTACTAACAACTGTTTGTTGAACAGGTGAAAAACCATTAGTCGAATGTAGTTTTATAACAGAATTCGAGGACCACATCTTCGTTACCGTGGATGCAGAGGCGTTTTTCTTCCTACACGACTTAATCACGTCGTACGTGAAAGAAAAAGTGGTAAGCTTTATTCAGTTAGAAGAATATCCATGTATATACATTATGATAAAAATAATACTACATTAAAAACAATACCTACTTTTTCGATAAATGTAGAATATGGGTGCAAATAGTCCGGATCCCCAAGAAAGAAGAAAGGGAAGGGCATCCGCTGCTAGTACCTCTGGTACAACATCAACTACTTCAGACGATGAAAAGAAACGCAAACAATTTGATCCATCAGAAATGTTCATAAAAGATTGGAGATCGTACAGGTGTAAAACTTGGCACTTAGAACCAACTGTGAGGTAGTATGATTTTTTATAACTTAAATAAAAATAAATATTGAAACACTTAATACCCAATAATTAGATGTGTAGATTATATTATGGATCTGTATATACTAGTAGGTTCTGTTGACTGTAATTTTCTTATATTTTTTAAACACCCTAACAAATTATGAAAAGGGCTAAGTTGAGTATAATAATTGATTCATCTTTGTGTTAAGAATAATTTTATAATCAATATCGATTGATTTTGAATATTTATGTTAAAGATTGCTGTCTTGGGCCGGTAAGAGCATTGAACCGTATGGTATAGATTACATTTTGCAAAAGTTAGGATTCTCTCATGCTCGTACAACGATACCAAAATGGATTCAACGAGGTTTCATGGATCCCTTAGACAAATTGTTAGCCATACTTATGTTAAGAATGGTGTTAGCTGTACGCGAGGAATCACCAGAAGAACAGAAGGAATATAAACGCGAAAAATAATTATACTTAAAAGAAAATGGACGTTAACGCTATTAGACATTTAACCACTGAGAAAGTGAAGCAAACTCAGAAATGAAAGCATATAATAATCGTCCATAATGATAAAGTCCTGTCTAGATAATAAAGAAAGTCACAGGTTAGTAAATGAGACTAACAATATACATTCTCTATATTCTTCCTTGCAATGCGCAAGACGAACGTTGATTAACTCGAATCGCAGACGAAGGAAGAAATCAAGCTTATTGTTGTGAAAATTATTTTCAATCTTAAAAACGTGGAATTAGTAATCACGAATCTTAATCACTTTGAAGACATAATGGGACACATTTTAGGGGACATTTGTACGAAATGTAAATAGTAAAGTGCAACCTGTTATCAATTGTACATTAAACTATAGATAAAGATTTGTAATCATCGATATTTCGTTCGAACGTGTTAGAAGATATTGCACAGAACGCCAAGGATACATCCAGTACTATTTAAAATATACAGTGTTCATGCAGTTATTAGCAAGTATATTTCTCATAAATGATAAGTATATAGAAGAAATGAAAGAGAGAAAAGTTTTACTGTTTTTTACAATGAACATAATAGTGCATTTAAATTTTATCATGTATACGACATTTTTGTTCATTTCTGATCTTCTGTTACATGGTTGCGCATAGTTGAATTTATCTTCATATGATCACGCTTCCATATGATATATAAAAACAAATAACATTTTATTTAAAGTTGAAGGTCACTTTTGTTTCTCAGAAAATATTGCAAACATAAAATATTTAAAACCATAATTATAGCCATTAGAAAAAAGGATAAAATTGTTTTCTCTTTAATTTTTTCCGTATACTTGCTATTTACGAGAAAAACGTTGATGAGTAACTACTTGGAAACCCTGTGTATATACATATATGCGTGAGTATATATATTACAGTGTTCAACGACGCCTCGTTATATTTTCATAACATAATTAACGAGAATTTCAGTTAGGAAACAAAAATTCGGTTACGCCATCGAATTCGTGATTCTACATGAAATGATACCGCGATTGACACGTATTTCGTGTACAATATTTAGATTCGAGTATCTCGATGTAACGTCGAGTAAAGTGGTTTCAGCTTTAGAATTTTATAAATTACGTTCATGTACGTATTATGTACAGTTATTAGCGGTTTAAGAAGTCACACGCCTAGATAAGGAAATAAAAGAAATTAAATGAAACGTATGTACGTCTTATGTATGAAACTACACAGAAGCAAAGCTTCTTGGTTTCGAAACTTTGCAGCATTCATAGCGCGTACCATGCAGGGTGTTCTTCAGTTGCTTGGCCAGGATTTACCAATATATTCTATTAGATCATACGAATAAACAAAATTTCACAGAAACGATAATTTCTTAAATGTTTCTTTTGTGATACAAAGTAGCCAAAAGTAAGAGATATGTTTCTTTTAGCTGTGATATAAATGTGTGTATATACAGGGTTGGTAAAAATCGTGTTAAGACTTATATAGAAAAAAATATGGATTTGTTACTAATGTATGTACACCTGACTACACAAATAAGTTTTCAAAATACCACAAAATTAGAAAAAACATTATTTGTAAACTATACAAATTCGATATATCACATTTATTTCAATATGACGTAACAAATATATAAAACACGTAATCTTTATAAAATACCACATATTCTTTATACATGGCAGATGTTGCAATATATGTATATGGATATGTAAGTATTAACATGATTTTCGATGTACCAATCCTACTCGATGAAAAAGAATTCTAGTTCAAATTGATTATACAAATTCTTTACTTTTTTTCTAGCAGAATGTAAATAATGGTAGCTATATTGAGAAAAAGGAAACGAAGATGCCAATTATGTTTAAATATATTTTCACGTTTAAGAAGTTCAGCTTCATTGTATTTCAAATACTTCCTCTGAAACGAAACTCAAAAGAGAAGCATTTGTGACTTTGCATTTCAATAAATATTCTATCATGAATATAGTTAATGAGATAAAATATCACAGTTTGGCCACAGGATTCAGGAAGACCGTGCATATACAATAGGGAAGATTTATCTTTGTACGAACTGCTCACGCGATTACGCTTACATTCTTAAGGATAT